TGTGTGTTTTCCCGCCTTTGTAATTGTCTGCCCCGCCCCTGATTGCTTTCACCTGTTTCCACTCTCACAAGGTATAAATAGTCCTTGTCTTTGTCAGTTGGTCTTGTTCCTCGTCAGTGAGTACTGCAATTCAGAGTCCAAGTTATTCCATGTATCTATCAAAGTTAGACTTTTTGTTTGCATTTTTGAAATCCATGTAGAGAGCACTTTTTGTTGAGAAAATAAATATCTTTTTTTTTCCAACTTCGTCTGTGCCTGAGTTGTGTATTTGGGTCCAACTGTATAGTGTCAGAGGTTGTGACAGTGGTCCTTTAATGTGTACCTTCTCAATCAATGTAAATATATTTCTTTTTTTTTTTTTAACTCTCCCACAGACTCAGGAGGAAGTGGCTGCACACAACTTCAGTCAGCAACACGTTCTCACTCCCAACTCGTCAAGTAATGCCGCCTGGTCAGTGGCTCTACACTGTATATATCCCTCTAGCATCCTTTCTATGGATACACCAAGCTCAGCAATACTAATTACACAACCTTGGGTTAGACTTTCACAATAAAAGCCTAGTAGGAAACATTGCAATCAGGTTTAGGAACAAAAACTACTTGTTTAGGTTTCGGAAGTAGTTAGTAGTTTGGGTTCAGATAAGTATGTTAGGTAACATTAGTTACTTTATGTACATACGTAATGGAATGTAAGTAAAAAAGAAGTTAACGCTCACTAGTCTCACATACAGTGCTCTCCAGTGCAGAAAAGGACAATCACATATTTCCAAAGGTGTTGGAGGAACAAGTTCAGTTCATAGAACTGCAGGTGCCCAGTCAGCCAGGCGAGGTCACTACGATGTGACAAGACTGATGAGTTTAATCAGCTCTTTCTCTATTAATCCAAACTAAGTCAGCTGTTACAACCTTGTTGGGACAATTAGTCAGAAAGCACAGCCGGAACTTGTACACAGGATGTACAACTGCACTATGAACATGTGGCTCTACTGCATGTACCACCCTTTATCAATTATTCTAATACCACAAACACTCTTATATGAATGCTGTACATATGTTTTATTAACACACAACAATAAATGTGATCTCACCTTTTCATTAAAGGAATTTGGAGACTTGGTTCCTGTGTGGATCATTTTGATCATTGTAGCCCTTGTTTTTGATCCAGTCAGTTATGTTGGCAAGATGTTTCTCTGTCATGGCGCCCTTGGGCTGAAGCTTGTTGTACCAGAGATTAACCATCTCTGTACTGTGTTGCTGAAAACTTTTTTCAAAAATCTCAAGCCTGGTTTTACTGTTCTTGTTCTGAAAGTCATTTAAGTTCTTCCTGCTATCCAACCTGAATCTGGGCATTGAGCCAAGGATAGTCTCTTTTAAGGCGCCCACAGCATCATTATTGCTTATGGTTTGAGCTAAGTGTCTTCTAAAAACTTCTGATTTTGTACTGAGAAAGTCAAGATGTATTTCTTTAGGCACATTAACAGCTGGAAGTTCACGGCCATGATTGTCTTTCACTTTCTGAATCAAGTTGTTATCCGGATTAGATGAGTTAGTTCCCACTTCAATCATGACTTTTGCTAGTACGCTGTCCTTGTTCAGATCTAAAGCATCCAATATACTCTGCACTGGTGGCTGGTGATCTGCATGGATGAATTGTCCAAGTCCTGGATTTTGATTTCTATATTTTATCAAGTCTTTGTATAATCCTATTTTTCCAACCTCTTCCTCGAGTGCCTTTATGGATTCTTTTATCTTCTCTTTTCTTGCTGCTCCCTGTCCCATGTACCAGTCCCCTCCTCTGATTTCTTCCGTCCAGACTTTGCGTTTGACAAAAGGTTCCCATCGGCCTGGTTCACTGAGGAGAGTGTCGGCCACCACAGATCGGAAACGGTTTACTTCCATAGCAATCTCAACTTTACTGGCCTCTGGTTTCATGCCTCGTGCCAAAGCGTGAAACAGGCATCCCTTGTCGCTATTTTCTATGCTCACTGTCTGGTTATTGATCTGCACATCATAATGGCCTTCTGGTTTTTGGTCACTCTTTGGTCTGTAGATCAGTGTCACAGTTTGACTGGCGGGTTCAGTGCCAGGGCTCAGCTCCTGCATTTTGGTAAGTGTACCATGGCTATCCTCTGTTAGGATGACAACCTTGGTGCCGGTGGTTTCTGACAGGACTCTGATATCAAGGATGGTACCAGCAGTCTTTGGGTCCTTGATCTTTTCAGCATGTGACTGTGAGTGTTCACCTGTCTGTCTTTCAAGGTTATGTTTAGCTTTTGGCATGTATGCGATGTATCTGTTGTTCTGTCCAGCTCTGAGTTTTTCTTCTGTTCTGTCACTATTTAAGCCAGATCTTACATCATTGTGAATGAAGCCATTTATTTGGCTTTGAACACGAGAAACAATGTGACTGGAGAACTTCTGGTGGAACACCTCTACCAGTGCATCAGCCAATAAAGCACTGATGATGTCGGCTAAATCCTGTTTGGATTCTTTCAGTAGCTCTTTGTCTGAAGCAGAGAGCTCATTTATCTTCACTTTCTCTGAAAAACCTTTTCC